TTAATCGTTCACGATGACGTCTCATTTTCGTTCAAGCTCATTCTCGTTCAAGCTTATTCACGATCTCTTTCGTTATCTGTTTTGCACTCTCGCTGCTATTTTCCACTGCACCCGTTTATTCTCAATAGACTGAAATCGAATAAGTATAAAAAAATATATATATATGCAGCCTTTCTTTAATTTAAAGAACATCAACCAACAATTGAAAGAATTAAATTTCACGTCTTTTCATCTCTCTCGCTCTCGTTCATGCACGCTCTCGATCAAGCCCATGCACGTTCTAGATGTACGCTCTCGTCAAGCTCATGCACGCTCTCGCTGTACGCTCTTGATCGAGCTCATGCACGCTCTCGATCTCGATCACGATCAACCTCATTCACGCTCTCGCTGTACGCTCTCGATCAAGCTCATGCACGCTCTCGATCTCGATCACGATTAACCTCATTCACGCTCTCGCTGTACGCTCTCGATCAAGCTCATGCACGTTCTCGATCTCGATCAGATCTCGCTCTCGCTCATGAACGCTTTTGATCCCCCTCTCGCTAATGAACAATCTCGATCTATAACATACTCCAAGTAGCTATCCATATCCATTTAACGCGCTAACGATCTCCTTTTTCTTGCCTTCACGCCCTGTCCGTCAGCTTCTCTCCCTCCACGTCTAAAAATAAACAACCCAGTAAACAAACAAATAAATAAATTATATGCGAACAAGCCCAACGAAACATTTCAAAACAAAGACCGATGGATAATGAAGTTTGAGCATCGACAGTCAGTGGCCTGTCAAAACAACCCTAATAGTGAGAGAGAAATGGAAGACTGATAGATGCTGGAGTTCAAGCATCGAGAGTTGCCTGTAGATGAGAGAAGCAAAACAAGGGGAAAAAATGAAAGAGAAATGAAGTGTTTTCAAAAAAGGGAGGAGGGAAAACTAAAATTCGGGCCAAGTTAAGGAGGGGCATTGGAGGTCATTTGACAAAGTAGGTGATGTCAGCAAATGATTAGAAAACTTGTGTTTTGAGTAGGGCGATTAAAAAACTTAAAAGGCCCCTGCAGAAGGTTTATTTTGTCAATTTTCCCCTGAATTTGTTGTGAGAAATTTGTGGAAACACTTCCCCTAGTGTTCTAAGCATCATTCTTATCATATCGGTGATAACAAATAGCTGATGGACCTACACCTTTTTGTGCACAACGAAGTCGAAGATCTTAAATAAACTAACGATCAAGCTTTTTGATTTGTTWACTCAACTCGTAAAGGCAAACAAAAACAAAATCCACCTCGATCAAAAGTCTCTCTCCTTAACCTGAGCATTAAGTGAGCAGACTACCTTTCTTTTCTACACTATGATATTTTTTCTTATGAAATTAAAAGTTTGATCGAGGACGTTCTCCTCCATATGAGATAACTTGAGTAATCACAAAACTATTTAAGGATAAATGTAGAGGCAAGATTGGAGGGATAATAAAAATTTAAAAAAGTAAAAAGAGGGACGTGGGTGGGGTCGAACTTGGGTCATTGCAATAAAACACAAGGAACAAATTAAACAAAAAAAGAAAAAAATGGCACGCCTAGGTTGGATTTGATCGGCATGTACACCAAAGAACCAGAAAATAATTATTTTGAACATTAAACGAAATATATAGTATTTAATCTAGATTCGGGGCAGTGCCCTACCCCTCGCTCCAACGTGGATCCGCCCCTACTGGCAAGTTTCACAACTAGTTTTGGCCGAGAGAGGAGTTTTGGCCAAGAGAGGACAAACAGTTGAATAAAAAGAAAAATGCATCAATTTCATAACTGCTCGAAGTAGAACTTCTTCACAAAAATATACAAAAAAACAAAAGGTCTAAAGTTGGCAAGTCTTCCAACCTACTGTGTACTACAATTAAAATTATTCCAAAACGAGCATAGCTCAACGGTAATTAGTATATATCATACCTCCAATTATGAAATTGTGAGTTCGAATCCCCTCCCAAAAGAAAAAAAAGAAAAAATTAATATTGTCATACAGGGAAGGGACATAAATGTTGATTTTGCAGTGGTGGACTATCTTGCTATGTTGCTGACTGTGCATCTATTGTCCACTGTAACGCTGTGTTGGCATATTTGTGAGAAAATAATAATAATAAAATCGATACCAATGCCGATGATTTTCCATTTCTATTGGAAAAGACTTCTCCGGATATTTCTATTTTATCATAGTTCCAATCTCATTACATGTAGGGGAAACAAACAGTAGATTTACAAGATCATTATGCTTATGCTTATGGCTTACAAAACTAGCTAAAAGATTCCTTCCAAGTCGACTCTCTTCTAATCCGTTGCATTCTTACCTCTGCTGCAGGCAGCCTTTATTTCAATCAACTTAGCGCGAAGGAACTATAGCAAACAAAACTCCACATAATGCCTAGAGGGAAGCAAGTTCGAACCTTCGGAATTCAGTTGCTGGCAAGGGCAACGAGTTGCTTGCCAGTGTTTTGTCCAGTGAAGAGGCCAACGAGGGCGGCGGGGGCAGCGTCGAGGCCCTCGGCCACGTCCTCCACGTAAGCAATCTTGCCCTCTCTGATGTAAGGCAGAACAGCGTCCAGAAACTTGGGGTACTGATGGAAGAAATCGGGAGCCTCGAAGCCCTCGATTCGGATCCTCTGCGTCACGACGTACAGTAAGTTGTGTACACCCTCCTTCTGCTCCAGATTGTACTGCGACATCATCCCGCATGCCGCTATGCGGCCTCGTTGCCTCATGTTTTGGAGCACTGCATCAAGCATTTTTCCCCCGACGTTCTCAAAGTATATGTCTATGCCTTGAGGGAAGCACCTGTCCAATAAATTACATGTAAATTACTATAATGTGTTCTCGATTCTTTGTTTCTGGTTTAATTTGGGCAAAAGATTAGTTTTTATCTGTGTGGGACTAAAGTCGGTCAATTTCAATCTTTTAAATATGAATAAGTGTTGTAATTAATGGTTCAATTATACAAAATGAACCTAAATTTTGGAGTTGGTTTCTATTATACTCTTATCGTTTTAAAAATTTCAATTATACCAAAAAAAAAAAAACAAAAAACAAAAACTCTAAAGTTGTTCCATTTTTTTCAACTTTTTCGTTAAAAATAAAATGGAAATGTTAAATGGCAATGAGGTGTGAAAAGTGAGCTAGGCATAAGCATAAATAGTAAATAAAATTAAGGAACCAAAATTATTATTTTTCAATAATACAGGACCCAAAATGAACATTTCCAAAGTATAGGGACTAAAATGAACCAAAATTAAAAATATAGCGAACAAAATGAATATTTTCAAATTACATATATCAAAAAGTGATGAAAATGAACAAAGACTGAAACTATTTTAACCTTAATTTTATTTAGTGGGCCTACTTTTTTTGTACTACTTGCTCTCATGTGTATCATCAAACTATCACACATTATACAACTTCAATCAATTTATGTCACATTTACCAAGTAGCAGTAAGCAAAAACTTATTAGAATCAAAATCAAAGGTTGAAAGACATAATATAAATTTTAGAAACTAAATCAATACAAACAATAAAAATTTAATAACTCAATAAAAAAAATAAAACAAAAGTTTAAATGTTTTTTTTTTTTTTGAGAAAGAAAAATAAAACTATGTTCGGTATGACTGGGGTTTCTTGTTTACTATATTTTAAGGAAAAAACTTGTTTTATAATTGGTTTTTCTTTTCTTGTTCTTTCTTTTAATTCGAGAAAAAATTATCTGCTAATTATTTATTGTTCTTTTGAATTTTAAATTAAAAGAAATTAAAGTTTTACTTGAAATATAATTTTTTAAACAAAATATTCAAAATTATGTTTCTAAATTTATTTATAATCATTATGCATTTTATATGTAGAAAAATAATAAAGTAATTATTTTATTAATGTTGTTGATAAATTGCAATCAGTCAACAAGAAATAATGTCTTTTTTTCCTAAAAATTGTCAATAATTTAGAAACAGTTCTTAAAAATGAAAACAAGACGTGTGATAACAAATGGATATATTTCTCAAAAATTGAAAACCAAAAATCAAAAAATAAGAGTAACATTACCAAAAAATTTCATAGGTTTTAATTTTTTTCCAAATTAAAAAAAAAAAATCAAAAGTTATTAAAGAAATAAAATATTAAAATTAAAAATACTCATGGTCATTATGTTATTTATATATCTATTAAAAAAATATATTTAGTATGTATTTTATAAGTGAAAAGCAAAATAAATAACTCCAAGAAACATGAAATAAAATCCAAAATTTATTCTAATTAAAATTTGTGCCCAATATATTTTGGTAATATTTATTAAAAATAAGAAACAACAAATATGAATCCAGTACCATTTCAATATATTTCTCAAAATTTAAAATAAGAAAACGGAAACCATAAATGTGAAGATTATCAAATAACCCCAAATGAAATAGAAGAGGTAATTAATTTGATTACAAATCTCACCATACAAGTTTAACAATTGTGTTGTTTTTGATGAATATTTAGGAATTTTAGATCACCAAATGTTTAAAATAAACTAAATATGGGCTTAACTTAGCACTAGTTGACACCTATCGTTGCCTTAAGAGGTCATGGGTTCGGATTTACACAAAATTTGATGTACTCAAAAAGAAATAATAAATAAATGAACTCTTTGTTGCCTATCTATTAAAATATTAAAATAATTGAAATTATTTGAAATCAATTCTAATTCCAAAATCAAGTTTTTACTTGAAGTTTTAAACTTTTTATTAAGCTTATTAAGCTAAATCTTTGTGATTTATTTCAAAAATATCCATGTGCTTTCAAAAGTTTCACTACTACCCTTAACATTTTATAAATATTTCAAAAATACTTTGAGCACACGTTAAAATAATTTTGACGTGACAGAATTTGTAACAATGTGACAATTAATGAATTTTACTCTAAAAGTCTTCTTCCTCCATTATCAAAAAAATTTGCTTCTCCATTGTCAACCCAATTTTGCCCTGATCCTCTCTTTTAAAAGTAGTGGCTCATTCCACATTTTCTCTCTTTTCAGACTTAATCCAAGACAATCGTCCACGTCGTTACATAGTTAATCCAAGACAATCTTACACGTCGTTACAGACTTAATCCAAGACAAGCTTCCACGTTAATTGTCACCTCGTTTGATATTTAACGGATGTTTGCTCTAAAAGTATTTTTGAAACATTTATGAAAGATTGGGGGCAAAATTCAGTTTTTTTTTTTTTTTTGGTTAGCCTTTTTATTATTACCCTTCAAAGGAAAGGAGATTTGAAAACCCATCAGCTTTCAAAGAGAGGTTACCATATTTTAATCAATGAAGCTATGGTCAATCCACAAGAATTTTCACTAAAATTTGAAGAGTAAATACTATCATGATTTCAAACAAAGGGCAAAATGACTGACCTTTTCAGTGCTGCGTTTAAGTCTGGTTCTTCCTTGTAGTTGAAAACCTCATCAAACCCAAACTTGTTTTTCAACAACTCGATCTGTGTACAGAGTGAATTAGTTAAATGTGTGTAACTATCTTTGAATAATTATATGTACTTACTAAAATTTTTGTGGTATTTGGCTGCATGGTAAAAAAGTAATCATAGAAACTTTAAAATCACTTTAAAAAAGCAATATTTTAGAGCAATTTCAAAACAAGTGTTTAATAAGTATTTCTTTCTGTAAATAGATATTAGAAAAAGTGTTTTACTTTAAAATATTCTTTTCAAAAAGACATTAAGACATACTTTGATTTCTATGTAATTCAAGCTAAAAGATAGAAGCCTTAATAAGTATGTTGAATGGTAAATTTATAAAAGAAAAGTGTTTTTGCCAACCAAAGTGATTCAAATCCTCCTTGCCTATACACTAACATTTTGGACTTGTTCTTTAACGGGCTTTGTGACTGTTTAAGTTAGTTAGGGCATGTTTATTGACACTTTCTAAAATCGTTTGTATATTACTGTAAAAATTTAGAGCATGTTTTAATGTTGATTATGGCTGGGTCAAAATCACTCTCAGAGATGCCCACAGTCATTGACGAACCCATATAATTTTCATAGTGAATAAAAGTGATTAGTGTCTCTTTTCCTTTAAATGTAGGTTAAAAATATAGTTGAAAGTGCATATAAATAGCTATATAAGTAGCTATTAGACACTTCTTGTTGTGCTATGTCTATGATTTTGATCTTAATTTTTCGCTTTGAGCAGAGTAAATGCAAAGCTATATGCCAAACTTGAGTTCTTAGCTCAATCTCTAGTATGTAGTGCAATTGGTAAGTGAGAAAAATTGAGGTCTATATTGATAACAGATGGATTGGCCCGAATTATGGTTTTTTAACATTTCTCTCATGCTATATATTTTTGTTTGAGCATTAAGAGAGTTAGTTAATTGAATGAAAGGCCATAAGAAGAGCTCATTAAACTATAAGTAGTCATGCTCTTTTAAGGTTGTCTAATAGGTCTTAGAACTATAAAAGGGTTTTCAATGTCAGATAGTAAAAGATTTCTAGACTTTAAATAGTGCCTATCTCTAATAAGTTCAGGCTCGTCTCATAAGTCATAAATTATTAATTTATGAGACATGCCAAGAACTTATTAAAACACAAAATTTAAAGTTCAAGAACTTTCATGACAGTTTTACAACTTTAGATTCTACACAATATTAGAGATCTATTAGACTAGATTTTTTAAGGTTTAGAAAATTATCAGACTAAAGTCGTAATTTAAGTAAGGATTACATACCTTTTTTGCAGTTCCAGCACTCCCAACAACACGGCAACCGACAAGCTTTGCAAATTGGCCAACAAGCTGACCAACAGCACCGGACGCTGCCGATATGTACACCTCTTCTCCTTTCTTGGGACAGCATATTTCATGGAATCCAAAGTAAGCAGTAATCCCAGGCATGCCTCAGTAACACACCACAACACAAACAAATTCATTCATTATTCTATCTCCGCAATTGACCATGAATTAACACAAGATTTTTAAATATGTACGCGGCCAAAACAGATTGGAAAATGGATTTAGACCTTTATACTTATTGAGTTTGTAAAAAAGTGCAAACAAAATCCTACATTAGTTAGAGAAGGAAATCATCTATGATATATAAGAGAGGACAATTAAATGATTATGATATATAAGAGAGGACAATTATCTTTATTGATATGAGGTCTTTTGGGCGAAATCAAGAGTAAAGCCATGAAGGTTATGCCTAAAAACGAACAATATCATAGCATTGTGAAGTACGAAGAGTACCGTTGTCCTTAACCATACTAAGCTCAAGTTCAATTAAACTGATCAGTTGAATTTTGTTTAGAGAACAAGACTGAACTATCTATAGAACTTTAGGGACTAAACTAGGATTTGAACCTTCTTTTTTTAACAAAAAAATGTTATCAATTATCAAAGATTTGAGTATGCTCATAATTTCTTCATTTTCTGATTTTGAAAGTTTAAACAGGGGAAGCACTGACCTAGAATTCCAGTGTAATAGGAGAGAGGCACGTCGGTGTGGTGGATTTTGAAGAGCCTTTCAGGCTTATCAATCACACTGTACTCTTCCCACTTAGTTATGCCCCAAACCAAGTCGCCTTCCTTCAAATTCGAGTGCGTTGATTCCAGTACCTTCGCAACTCCAAACCCAAACAGCACCTGCACCAAATATCATCACATCAGTCGCTCAAAATTTCAATTACATTACCTAAACATTCTCAAATCTGAAAAATAATTGAATACGCCTGGCTACAAAGAGCCAGGAGAATCGGGACCAATTACAGATTCTCAATCATCGCCCCCGCATAAGGCTCCAAATGTATGAATCGCAAGAAAGGTAAAAGTTCTTCAGAATATGGAATTTAAAGATTCTCAATCCGATTAAGAATTGAAAATTGCTAAACAGATGCTGGAGAATCGAGTGCAATTTCAAAGCCAAGAGTGAGAGAACTCGCCGCGAAGAAATATAGAAGTTATTCAGCAATATTGAATCTAAGATTCTCAATCTGAGCAAGAATTGAAAATCGCTACACAGAATGAGGAGAAAATCGGGCTTGGCAGGTACAAATTGCAAGAAATATAAAAGTTGTTCACCAGATTCACAATCCGAACAAGGAATTGAAAGTTTCCACACAGAAGGAGGAGAATCGAGGGAAATTACATCACCGGGAGTGTAAGAAGTTGCGGAGACGGAGACTCCAGGTTTCATGAGCATCCGCATGTAGGGATCGCAGGAAAGGTAAAGGTTCTTGACCAGTACAGCATTAGAAGATTGGGGAAGTTTCAGCCTCATACTGTTGCTGGTAACCGACATATCTGAAACCTTTGGGAAACCGGTGACGAAATCCTTGAAGATGACCCGCTTGTTCATCACTTCGGCTCCGACTTCCGCCATTGCTGCTGCCAAACACTGCAACAAAGCTGAAACAGAGATGGATCAGATCAATTAGGGCGTGAAATTTATAATTGCTAGATTTATGAACGAACTACATACAGTTCGTTTTCTCAAAAAAAAAAAACAAAAACTACATCCAGTTCGAGTTAGGGATTTATCGATCAGTATCAGCTGCTAGTCTCGATCTCATATTGATTTTGAAAGGGATCTACAGAAATTTACTGCTCATAAAGCTAATGAACCAAACGAAAATTTTCTATTATTAGAGTCGTAGTAGAACTTTCATCAACTTAAATAGGTAATACTATTATAAATATTTAATATCAGACGCCTGTGTTTGTTGCGTACAAAGCTCCACTTGTAATATTGTTATCTACGCTTGGTGTCTTAATGCTCACACACCATATCGTAGAAGTTCCCTATAAAAGCTTATCATGGTTGATGAAATAAGATGAGAAAAATTTTGAGAAATTTATACCAAATTTTATATTTCCCTTTTTTTTTAATTTTATCCAATTTAATTTTCTAGTTGTTCATGCTCTCATGCTACTTTGTTCTGCACGTTATCACCCCTGCTATTTTTGTCTGGCTAAAGGTAGGTTCGAAAGGTACGTTATTTGTTTTGATATTTAGTAAATTATATGTCGTTTTACATATTTAATATATATTTGTGGAAGTTTTATCATGACAAAGTGACAAAGTTATGACATTAATTGTCAAAATAATTGTCATGGATGAATTCCATGTGAATGCCATGAATCCTGTAGATTCGTATTGAATATATATGTTTGAAGACAAAGTTTGTATTGAATATATATGTTTGAAGACAAAGTTTGATTAATATACACCTGAAGTTGCATAATTTTGAAACAAAAAATGCTCAATTTGATTGAACGCATCGAAGTTGCATAACTTAAAATCAACAAGTGATTTTAAAATAACGTGCACATGTTAAAGAAGATAGTCATATAAGATATATGCTCCTAAAGTAGCAATATCAAAAAAGATGATATGAAATGCATATCATAAATTGATTTCTATCATGTCTTCTTGTAATTGAACAAATCAACGAGCTGTTTCATGAAATTCATGAATCTCACCAAATCATTATCCCTTGATGTAGATATGGTAATAATTGATCATTGTAGCAAATGTTGAGATCACGAAAGTATTGAAAAATGATTATCTGAAGTGAATGATACAAAGGGACATTACTCTTGTACCGATTGTACATTCAAGCTTATAGTGCAACTAAGCCTCATTAAAGAAAAAGAGGAAGATTGTTTGGAAATAGACTTTGATTGTTTGGAAATAGATTTTGCATGCATACCAAGATAATTAGTCTTTTGACCCTCTACATATGAAATATTTGGATGTTGCAAATGTTTTTAAATCACCTGAAGAGATGATGAATTCTCCTGACAAGAGAATGAATAACGAAGATACGTCTAAAAGATAGTGCAACTACGCACACAATATTGAAAAGTAGAAAATATTTTTCCAAATTGACAATGCTGGAAGCAAAAGTTAATACAATATCAGGTTTTGCAAGCTTGATTGAAGGTTTTGAAAAACAAATATTATTTTGCCTAGAGGAACAAAATTTACAATTGATAATGCATTGTTCTCTAGTAAATCAAAGAAAAATCTATTGAGTTTTAAAGATATATGTTGCAATGGTTATCATATTGAGACTGATAATAAGAATAATATAGAATATCACTATATTATATCTATTGTCTCACATGGCAAACGTATACTAGAAAAGATGTCTACTTTATCTTCTAGATTATATTATATTTATATACGAGTAATTGAAACGTATGCAACAATGAACCTGAAATTTATGAATCCAGATATATTTACTATTTGGCATGATCGGTTGGGTCATCCTGGGTCTATAATGATGAGAAGAATTATTGAGAATTCACGTGTACATTCGTTGAAGAACTAGGAGATTTTTCAATCTAATGAATTATCATGTGATGCTTGCTCTCAAGACAAATTAATCATTACACCATCACCAGCTAAAGTGGAGATTGAATCACCTATGTTTTTAGAAAGAATTCATGGTGATATATGTGAACCCATAAATCAACCAAGTGAACCCTTTAGATATTTTATGGTGTTAATTGACGCATCTAGTAGAGGGTCACATGTGTTCTTATTATCAAGTCGAAACCTTACATTTGCAATATTAATTGTTGAGATAATTAAGTTAAGAGTACAGTTTCCTAATTATACAATTAAGAGTATTCGTCTTGATAATGCTGGTGAATTTACATCTCAATCATTTATTAATTATTGCATGAGAATTGGGATAAGTATTGAACATCCTATAGCTCATGTTCATACACAAAATGGTTTAGCGGAATCATTTATAAAGCGATTGCAGTTAATTGCTAGACCATTACTTATGGGAGCAAAGCTTCCTACATCTGTATGGGGTCGTGCTATTTTGCATGCAGCGTCACTTGCACGCATTAGGATAGTAGCCTATCATAAGTACTCCCCGTTACAATTAGCTTATGGCCAAGAGCCAAATATTTTCCATCTAATAGTTTTTGGATGTGTACTATATGTTTCATAGGAGGCTAGGAGTATACATTGGATTTTATTCTACATCAATCATTAAATATCTTGAACCCTTGACGGATGATGTATTTACTGCACAATTTGCTGATTGTCATTTAATGGAGATAAATTTTTCAACATTAGGAGAAGAAATTAAGAAGTTGAAAAAAGAAATTACATGGAATGCATCGTTATTGTCTCATTTAGATCTCCATATAAATCAATGTGAACTTGAAGTTCAAAAGATAATTCATTTGCAAAATATAGCAAATCAATTACCAGATGCATTTATAGATGCTAAGAAAGTGACCAAGTCAAATATACCATCTGCAAATGCTCCATCGAAAATTGATATCCCAATACAGCAAGTTGTCATAACTAATGAATCTGCGACACGCCAGAAGCGTGGTAGATCGATGGATTCCAAAGATAAAAATCCTCGAAAAGGAAAAGTAGTCAATAATCAAAATGACTCAATTGAGAATGTGGATATTTGTTGCGTCCATACAATCGTGCTGACAACACGTGCAAGTAAACACGAAATTGCCGATTGTAGTATGAAACGAGGTTGAATCTACAGGGACTTTGGATAATATTTTAAACGATGTTTGCAGATACCAAATGTGTAAAAACAAAGAAATATGAGTGTTATGTCGTAACTAAAAAAATATAATAAACAAAGCAGTAAACAAATCTCAACAGCAGACACACTTCGAAAAGCTGATAACAGAAAGAAGTTACAGCACAGAACAGCGAAAATGAGGGGCAACAGATATGGAAAAGTGGGGGAGATTCAGCGTACTTTCACAGGTTATCAACGTACCCTCTATCTTACTAACATTTATTAATGTCCAGCTCGACTAGGTTTCCTTCCGAGACACCCCAAACATAAGTAAGTACAACTTCCGTTGCTAAATACTCAAGCAATAAACGCAAGCTCTAGGCAAGATTAGGGGACCCAATTCCCAAGTATCCCTAAAGCTATAGAAAAGCGCTAATCACAAATAAAGCACATCAGCACCCATAAGCCCTTCCCAGGTCAATAGAGCAGCTAGCAAATGCAACAGAGTGGCCAACAATGTCACGCAAGATTGAAGAAATACAAAACAGCTTTATTAAAAAATAGATGTAGCAGCTAGAGGTTCAGTATCAAGTTAGTTATAGTATGTGAGTCTCCCCCAAGATGGGGTTTAGCTCATAATGGGTAAAGAAAATAAAATGGAAGAAAGAAGAATACAACACATTTCAGAGCAGTAGCAAAAGAAGCAGAGAAGAAGAAGCTGACAGCTCATCGAAGCAGGTGAGCCTCCTTTTCTTCCGATCAGTTATCGCCCCGAAAATGGAGATATTCCTCCCCTTTGTCGTTTCAGCTCTCAAAAGTGTGTCTCCATTGGGATCTGTCGATGGCGGCTATGACAACATACCCCTTTTATTTTGGGTTTCGTTTTTAGGGCACCCAAAATTCTACGGACACGGTAAATCCCGTGTCTGGGCTGTTATTGCATAGTGAATCCATGCTCCAGCTCTGCTTCGCTCTAGCTTTCATATGCTCTGCCTTGAAAATGCTTCATCCACTCTTCTCTAGGCTCAACACTCTTTTCATACTTTGTCTTCCTTTTCCAAACTTGCGCAATTACACCAGAAATAAGAGGATTTTGCGCACTTTTTAGCTAAAGCATTCAAGACTTGGGACTTTGGCTCGATATTCGATTTATAAGATTTTTCATGATGTTTAAGAGCTAAAACTGACACACTTTGACAATTCCTTGTATAAAACTACCCAAATAAATACTAGAATAACTCTCTTTTGGAGAGTTATCAATATTCCAGAAGAAATCTCAAACATGACTACTCATAAAGATACTAAGAAAGATCAAGTATCTGAGGATAATAATTAAATCTCAATAAACTATGTTATGATAGGAAAAAGATGGAACCGAGCTAATGTAGTTATTGAAAACATTTTTGCTTATAATGTTGCTCTTGACATTGTATCCGAAAATGAGGATTCTGAACTAAAATATGTCGAAGAATGTCGACAAAGAAAGGATTGGCTAAAGTGGAAAGAAGCAATCCAGGCAAAATTAAATTAACTCTCAAAAAGTCAAGTCTTTGGACCAGTAGTCTGAACATCAGAAGGAATTAAGCATGTGGGATACAAATGAGTATTTGTAAGAAAAAAAATGAAAACAATAAGGTCACAAGATATAAGGCAAAACTTGTTGCACAAGGTGTCTCGCAAAGACCTGGTATTAATTATGAGGACACATGTTCTCCAGTGGTGGATACAATTGCATTGAGATGTTTAATGGGTCTGACTGTGTATGAAAATTTGGACATGCATCTTATGGATGTAGTCACAACATATTTATATGGATCTCTTCATAATGATATTTATATGAAAATCCCTGAAGGATTTAAAGTATGTTATAGGAAGAAAATAGAGATCAGACTAAACAACCAAAAAGAGGAAATGAAGCCGAAGAAGAAGTAGACCCAAAGAGTGGTAAGTGGCTCAGGGCCCAACAACCTGGGCCAGCCATAGCCGAATTTTGCCTTGACCTACAAATTGAGCATTTAGCAAATGAGATATTTATCCATCACTCAATTTATACAGGAAAATTTTTAAAAGAGTTTTATATGGACAAAGCACATCCATTGAACATTCCAATGGAAGTTCGTTCACTTGATGTGAAGAAAGATATA